AATTGCGCTTGTCGGGTTGTGGGTAGGGGAGAAAGGTGCAAGTCAGGAAGGTTAGAGGTTCTAACTGAGGCAATTGGAGAGCTTCAGAATCATGTTGTGTTTTTCATGACTGGCATAAGTAAAAGTGTATATATGGATACATGTAATAGTTTTAAGAACTAGTGGAGGGAGGGAGGGGGAGAGAGAGAGAGAGAGAGGGAGAGCTAGAAAGAACGAAAGAGATTGGACCCAGCTGTTGAAGTTGACAGGTGTGCGGGATACTTTGGTTGTCGTTCTGTACGCCTTGGCCGTGGGTTGGAGGCGGTGTTCGGGATACATTGTAGCACTTTCTATGGGAACTCTGAGCGGACAGTACCACCATAAGCCCTCAACCCTAAACCCAATATGAGGCTTCAAGGTCAGGACTCCAGGGTTAGGCTCCCATGGCACAGCTGCAAGATCAGATAGTTCTTGGGCAGTGTGGGTAGCGGCTTCGAATCTTTGAAAGCCCATGGAACCAGAAGCCTCCCTACATTATGAACCCTGAACCCTAAACCCTACCATGAACCCTTAACCCCTGAACCCTGAACGGTAAACCCCACACCCAAAGCCCTAAACAAGAGCCGCGGATCCTTCAGACATCGGGGAACACAAAGAACATGTAATATAGAAGCCTAAATAGTTGCCAATACTATTCCCTTAGGCTTCCCTATTATGATTATTTTATATAACAAAGGAGCCCATGACCCCATTCTGATTATTAAGGCTCCTACTGTATATCCCTACTATAGAATCCTACTATAGAGCCCCTATAGATCCCTTTAAAGGACCCCTTTAAAGGAACCTTATGCTAATTATGAAGGCCCCTAGAGTAAAGAAAGCCAACAGGAGGGCCCATCTTCGGAGGGGGCCATGGATGTGAGCCTCGGCTGCCCCCGTCGGTTGGGATCTGAACTCATTTCTACGACTGACGATAGAAATCCCGTCTTACCCATAGTAAGGAATATACTTAAGGTAATGCAGGGTTCACATCAACCGTAGGACTTACTTTGAGGTAGTTAGCAAACTGGTTGCGCACTGCTGTTTACTAGGACTTACTGTGAGGTTGTTAGAAGAGTTACCTCGGTTTATAGGGTTTTGCACTGCTGAGTCAGGGCGCTGGGGTGTTTGAAGGGCTTTGACTGCCTTGTATACATGATGTCGAAGATGCTCAGTACACACACACACACATATGTATATATATATATCAATACATATGTAAATATATATATATATATATATATGTACATATGTATATATATACACACATACATACATACATACATACATACATGCATGCATACATACATACATACATGCGTAGACACATGAGGTCAAGAAGAGGTTCTTGAGCGTGAAGGTTCCTTTTCGGGGCCCATGCAGCAACAATATCTTGCTGCGTGTATATTGGCATGAAACTGCCGAATATCATAGCATGGCAAAGAATCACATACATAGCATAGCAGAACACTAAACAACGACGATGACATAACAAAGTACCGCGTGACATAGCTGAACAACTTATAATGCTGTGGAAGACAATGTAGTCTTTCGGTAGAGCACAGCATTGCATATTATAAAACACGTATAACAGAAGGTGGTGTAACACAGCTTTTGTAATACCATCGTATGTTGTGTTTTTGACACCAATAGACTTCAAGGGGAATTCAGTATGCTTCGATACAAGTCAATACAAATCATCATAACTCAGCAGAACAACATCACTTACTACGGCTTCATATGATTTCAGCTGTGTACAAACAGGCACACAAATAAGTAAATGACTATGGAAGTGCACATTTTATAAGCATATATGGAGATCCGTGGGCTTCTGTAGTCAGGCTAAAGACTAGAGTGTTGAGGCACGCTGTGCTATGTTTGTACAGGGACTTTAGGCGGCTAGAAGTATTGACTAATCATTCGAACCCCCAGTAGCTCATGCGTTCTGTCATGGTTGTTAAACGTTGGTCTATTTTCTGTTTGTCCAAAGGTTGTGTTGGAGCGATTCATTGGTATGGTAAGGATTTTGCTGTCGATTGCCAGGGCAGCGCTCTGGTTGGGCATATGTAGGCCCAGAGACTCCAATATCCCTTAATTAAGGTATATTCCTTAAATCGTATTAGGGATCCTATTATAATTCAAGGTATATTCCTTAATTGCTGCAACGCAAACATTCGCCGTAGAGCAAATTTGGACTCAAGCTTTGGCACCATGAGCAGCACAGACAGCAAGAGCTCTGCCAGCAGCATGTTAATTAGGTCACCGTAACCCATGACGCAAGCACAAACACACCAAGGCTAGCCGCCACACTAGCACTCTCCCACTGCATACTCAACGCCCCGCACAGTGTCGTGCCGAGATGTTCGAAGGAAGTCCACGAACCGTGGTTATCCGCAGGACTCCGGAGACACCCCTGGTGGTGCAGTGCCTGCTAGAGGCGTGCCGCGACACCCTCACGGCCAACTTTTTCACGCTGAGCGGCCGCCGCATCCAGCAGCCAATGAGATATCACCGCACAGATGCAACACTCGGGGGACTGCGCAAGACAGCACGGAGACTGGCACTGAAGGCAGAGTGCCTCAAGTCGCCCATGCAGCCCGTGCGGCTGGTGCTGAGCGACTGCCCCCTCGAGCCAGTGCGTAACTTCCTAGTATGCAAGGAAATCCGGAGAAGACCCGCAACTCGCAGGCTCCGAAGAAAAGCCGACATGGCCGCGCACAACTTGCGAAGAGCCTTGGCTGAGAACCTTTGCTCTAGGCCCTAGGCAGACCGTCTTCGCGGGAAAGCTCGCGGAAAAAAAAGGCATGCACGCGCCCGCCTTCGCAGCAAAGAGTGAAGCAGAGGGTCGGCACGTCCAATAAAGCCGGGCGTAGCAGCCAAGGTGCAGCGACCCTCGCAACTCGCCTGCAGCTAGCGAAGCAGGTGCCAGTTCCTAGTCCATCCTGCGATTGCATCCAGGACCCAGCGAAGCCCTGAAGAGCGTTCTGAGACCCGCGCAGCCTGAACAGTCGAAACCATGATCTGGGGGCCAAGGCATGGCCTACATCGCCACCCGACCACAGAGGCCGCCAGGCTACTGTTACATGCATGCACGCTCTCACCAGCCAGCTAGCGTTCTGTGCAAAGCCCCCAGGATGCCACCGAACACATCGACCCAAAGAGGCACCCGAAGTCCACATGCGGACGGACCCAAACTGGACCCGCGTGGCCACAAGCATTAAAATTAAGCATGGCGTGCACATGTCGGGTCCTGCCAACATGTCACGCGTGTCGGCAAGACATGCTGCGATAAAGCTAACCCACCTGCCGCAGCGCTCCTGCACTTGCTCCAGCTGCTTGCCTGGAAACCTTGAGTGGTAGCTTAAGCTCCCACAACATGTCCGACGACCAGAGGCGCGAATCGTCCCCGCGCGTTCCGTTCAGTCGTCTGTTCTCTCTGGCTGGAGGTTCGTGACAACCCTGAAAAGCGGCAACATCCTCAAGGTGCCTGTAAGTGCCACTACAACTCGGCAGACCGTGCGCCTCGCACAGGGCCGCGAGAAGGTCTGGCGCCTCATGGGCGACCTTCCGCACGCGCGTCCCTACGAGTTCTACAAGCTGGCCGGGGCCTCCAGCAGGATACGGGCAGTGAATTCCTCGGCACTGTCGAGGCACTGGCACAAACAAAGACCACGGACAATGCCGGCAAGATCACATCCGGCTGGAGCTCCTGCTGCTCATCTCAAACGGAGAGCCGAGCGCGTGTGCGAATCTGTGCCATGAGCAGGCGCGTGAGAAGGATCGCCGAGCGGAACCACAAGCCTCTGTCTGGACCTCAGCTGTGCAGCACAGCACATACACTTCACGTGCTCCGTTCTGGGCAGGCCCAACGTCACGTGGGAAGAGGTGAACACCGACGATGGATACTGACACCAGACCCAGCCACGGCCAGAGCAACCGGGTCGTGTCTAGTGCATCGCAGTACATCGGCTTCTTTCTCATCAAGTCGGGACGCTGCCGTACACCGCCCGCAGAGAACCCGTGCCCAAAACAGCGACCGACGTGCTGGGCGTGGGTGCTTGCAGCCCATCCGTACAAGCAGACCGGCATGCATCTTCCACTGACAGCATACATGTTGCAGAAAGCGTAAACTCTTCCACGGTGTACAAATCAACCGTCAGAGAAGCCAAAAAACTTCCAGCTCAGTATACTCAGCTGTCTCCCGCCCAGCGGACATGGCACTGCAGGCGATGCAGAGCCCCGGCCGCTAATCTTACCGCCACGATGAGCACACAGCTCGAACATGTCCTAATGCCGCTGTGGCTTCACGAAGGACAGGCTTCTTCTGGGTGATGGTATACAGCGACTACGCCCCCTGCGAGCGCATATGGCTTCGACCGCAAGCAAAGTTCGAGGACTTGAAGGAAGCCAAACCGCGATACGCGTGCCATCTCGCCTGCGGGAGTAACCGCTCCACTGGAGCTGGAAGTACGGACGAGCCCGCCCAGGCCAGACCTTCTGCCAAGTCGGTCATCTCCGCGTCGGGAAGGACAACCATGACATGCAAGTGGCCAGACCCCGAAGATCTGCACAAGCAAGAAAGCCAGTCCAGCACAACCTGAAACTCGCAGGACGCTGTGGTCTTGAAGGTGCTGCTGCAAGCGAAGACGAACACCGTGCTCATCCGCGATAATCGTCGCATGGGTCCAAGCTTCATGCCAATAGCACGGCTCTAAAAGGCCGGCGCGTCTCACACCAGACGAGGCACCTCGGACAGGTAAAACAGACGTCACGATCAGCACGAGGTGTCAGCCACGCCCCCGCAGACAGATGAAGCGAAACAGCCACGCAAGCGGCAAGAACCGGGGGCGATTGCGACAGCTTTTTTGTGCTCGGAGTCAGCAAGACTATAGCAAACACCCCCAGCTGCCGCTCTGCCAAGAGGAAGGCACTCGCTCGGTCGCACCGACGGCGCAAGCTTTCGTGTCGCTCGTTGAGAGGTCATGACGCCACTTCGGGAACTGGCAGGTCAGGCGAGGTCGCACAAGAAGTGCGGCACGCAGAGAAGTTGTGTCGTTTCCCTTTCTTTCTCCCCGTCGCACCACCTGATCCCGGGAGGCATCCGACGCAGTGATTCACAGCAGCGGACTGACCATCAGGCCCGAGTACTTGTGCCAGATTCTCGCAGGGGCCAAAGTCTGGGAGCTGCGCAAGAGCGCCTGCAAAGATGCCCTGGGAAAGCGCGTTCTTCTGCTGGGCAGCAAGACAGGTCGCTGCTGGGGCAGCGTGAAAGTCAGTGGGTGCCTGATGCTAACCACGACAGAGGCAGCGCTGCACGAGGACAAGCACGGAGTCGCCCCAGACAAGATCGAGCGCTACGCGAAAGCCGCCTGCGTCCATGCCTGGCTCCTCGAAGACCATCTGATCCTGCGGAAGCCCTTGGACGTCGAGAGAAGCCGCGGCAGCGTGAGCTGGGTCAAGGTCCACAACATCCTGGAAAGTCCCGAACAGCAACAGGCGCTCGCAGCATGTCGCATGGCCACAGCAGAACAGCTACGCGCGGAAATGGCTGCGCCCACCAAGGAAATGGGGTCAACACACCGCAGCAAGCGCAAAGCGGCGAAGCCCACACCCGACATGACCCACCGCAGCCATGTCAAAAAGCGACGCAAAGTGGGCCAGCCCGCCAACAAGAAGAGTCCGAAAGCTGAGTGCGGATGAAGCCCGAACTTAGACTTTGGCAGACACCAGCAGCAGGACTTCGACGCGCGGGCTTCCGTTAAGAAAGAGAGGCTGACTCGAGAGACAATCAAGCTCTGCTGCATCCTTACATGGACTTGCTCTGGGGTAGGAGGTGTCCTACAAACCCTAAAACCCCTAAACCAAAAACCCCCAAAGCCCTAAACCCCTAAAAACCCAAATCCGAAACCCCTAAACCCCTAATAAACCCTAAACCCCTAAACCCTAAACCCCCCAAAAAGCCCTAAACTCTTCCGCTCCGGCTTTCCAGAAGCCTTTCGCTTGCTGCTTCCGGGCTGTGGCCGCTGGTCAAGAGGCCGGAGAAGGGTCTCGCGGCTCTACTTGGAGGTTCAGGGGTACTTATAAGGGTCCCTTTGAAGGGATCTATAGGGATTCTATTGGGGTATAGGGTTTAGGGTTTACTTGGAGGTTCAGGGGTACTTATAAGTAGGCTTATAGGGGACTTATAACCCTTTAAGGGTTCCTTTGGAGGCCGGAGACGGGTTTCAGGGTTTAGGGGTTTAGGGTTTTGGGTTCAGGGTGGCTTCAGGGTTTTAAGGGGTTTAGGCGTTGGGCCTTTGTCCCAAAACCCCACAACCTTCAAGCCTGTAAACCCTTAACCCTTACTCTTCAAGCAATGTAGGGGTCGAATAATTTGGAATATTAAGTATTCCTGTATAGTCCACTTTTAGACACCCCCAAAACCTGTTCCGACTATTAATGGCTCTACATTATGCAAGGGGCGAGTTGAAGCCAACGAGCCAGGCAAAGCAGATTCCACACATCCGGGCCTATTGACTAGGGGACTTGTTGTAAGTACCCTGAACCCCAAAAACCCGAAAACTGTTCGCTCGTGAAGCTTTCCTTGCTTGAGTCTGAGGAGTTTGGGCGGTTGAGCTGTTTCGGATTCGGGGCTCAAGCTTTATCTTTATCAGGTCTTTTTCGGGCTATGAGCAGTGTTTGATAGGAAGGGGTCTTTAAAGAGTTGCGATTGGCCTTTGAGAACTGGGTTCCCAGAGACTCCAAAACCCCTTAATTAAGGAATATACCTTAAATCATATTAGGGATCCTACTATAATTTAAGGTATATTCCTTAATTAAGGGATATTGGAGTCTCGGGGTTCGCTGTGTTTACAAGGCCTTCGGTCTCTTTCCTCCAAGCCCTCACCGTCCCAAGCGGGCCAAGCGACCCAAACCACCGTGCTAAAATGAACTGGAACCTATATAAAAATTATAGAGGTCTGCGGAAATTTTGAGATTATGCCCTGAAATAGTTCGCTTAATAATCTAGTCCTTCCTGTTTACTTTTCACTACCCTATACTACTTCCCCAGGTCCCGGTATGACCCGTTATTTGTACAGTCCTGAAGCTGCACTTGGAGGGGCAGGGGACTTAGTAAGTAGGTTATAAGTAGGGTTATAATTGGGGTAACTCCATTTAAGGTACGAATAACTCTACTTCCCCAGGTGACGGTATGACCCTTTATCTTACCGTTGGTTAGTAAGTAATAGTAGTTATACTTGTACCCCTTTCCTCCATTCCCTACGAACCAAAGGTAAGTTATTTGTAAAGTCAGTCTTAGTAAGTAGCTTATAAGTAGAGTTATTAATACCTTAAATGGCTACTAAGTCCCCTGCCCCTGCAAGCAAACTGTCAGCCTGCGCCACCCGTCAGGCGACGTTGTTTCCGCGAATTTCTCTGAACATCGGAGATGTTGCGCGAAGGACAAACAAATCCGCACGCGCTCCGCGGAGTGCCTGGGGGGGTGCATTTGGGGGTTCAGAAGTTTAGGACGGCTTTGAGGTTTTTTTTGGGGGGCATTTAATCATTACCTGTACGATTTTGGTGTTCCTTATTATAACTACAGGAAAAGGGGTCCCAAATTCGAACTATTAAGGCTCCTATATTTTGGGTTAGGATTTGCATTGTTTGAGTTTTGGGGTTTCGATTCGGCAAGGCAACTGCTTCTGGATGCCTGCCAGTAGTACATCCCTGATGCCATTCTTGCTTGATGGACACTGTCTTCAACAGCCGCATAGCCTGACAAAGGTTGCTGATGTTGTCAGGGGGTGCGTGGGGCGAAATAGAAAGTTATGAGCTTGCATGGTACTGTAAGGAATCGGGTTTCTCGCGTTTTGGTGGAATTCCGGTGTCTTGAACCATTAGTCACAGTGGTACTCGACCATTAAAGCTTGTTGTCCCTACGTAGTGAGAGTATAGTCTACAACAAAGCTGTATTCTGTACGTTTCGGCCCGAGTGGCAGGTGTCTATAGTAGGATTCTGTAGGTCATATACAAGCTCATGGGAAGCTAGACCCCTAAATCCTGAAGGCCTAAACCTTGGAATCCTAAATGCACATCAAATCCCTAGACCCTACTATTCCGTTTGTTTTTACGCGAGCGACTCTCAATGAGCATGCTCGAGTTCTTTAGTTACATGATGGTCGTACCTGAAATGCTGGGTTGGCACATGTTACAATAGTTGCTTGGGTATTTGTAGAAGCACTTCAAGTCAACGAGCAGTGACGTCGATGCACGTCGAATCAGCTTTGCGGCAGTGTTTAGACAAATTGATCCACACTGACGAAGATTTGTCTTGATGCACACCACATTCTTCGGAAAAAATTGTAGAAACCCGTTTAGAGATGACAGCGTGTGTCGTTTGGCCCATGAGCTGGCAAACAAGCTACGGTTTGGGGCAAAACCGACCCAACATGAGGCCTTCATAAGTGAATTAGGGGTTCGCAGGTAGGCTACAGTTTAGTTAAATGGGGACTAGAAGAGGTAAATGATTTGGAACAGATGCATAGGATTCGCGTCTCGTAGAGGCTTCGTCTGAGCAACCCGCGGAAATGGATGTTAGCATCGGCATTGAAGCTGCGCTAGCAGATGATCTCAAATGGCAGTGGCAACAGCAGCTTAATCATGATAGTCCGACTAAAAGTGCCTCGCATGTCACGATTCTTTACATTGTCCGTCAAGAGCCTTGTACCTGTAGCTGTATTCATGAACACAGCAAGCAACAGAGCACATTGCAAGAAGTTGGATACCAATAGCAGCAACAACCACAAACCACAAGAGTTGTTAGAGTGATACTGTGCTCATCCCTACTGTACTGCGTGAAAGATCAATGTATTGTATCAGTAGTACTGGCAGTAGTAGTGTAGTAGTCGTCGTCGTGGTAGTAGCTTCAGCAGCAGCAGCAGCAGCAGCAGTAGTAGCAGTAGTAGTAGTAGAAGTAGTAGAAGTAGTAGTAGTAGTAGTAGTAGTAGTAGTAGTAGTAGTAGTAGTAGTAGTTGTTGTAGCAGCAGGAGCAGCAGCAGCAGCAACACTATTAGCAGCAGCAGCGGGCGTAGCAGCAGCAGTAACAGCAAGAGCAACAGTGGCATATCACTCATGACGCTCTTCTCGCCGACTTCTCACAGCTTTAGCTGCAGAGAGCTGGGATGTTGATTTCGTGCATGAGCCCTATACATCGTGAAACCTGGTTCTACGGCTCCCTTAGTTTTCTTCCCGACACCCCCGTCTGTGAGTCCAACAATACCCTCGCAGCCCCAGGGTTGAGGCATGAAACCCCTTCTGCAATAAAAAGAGAGGCGACCCTGCTGTTCTTGCTTCAACCCAGAATCCTAAGCCCTAGAAACCCTTTGCAATGCCCGCGCGGAGTGATAGAAGCGGAATGGACCGACCGGGTCTTCCTGCCCCTGGGCTGATTTTGGATCTGGATGCAGTGCTGAAAACACCTAATAAGCCATAGGACCTATCACTACTTTCTGGCTCTCCTAAGCCACCAAAACCCCAGACCCTTCAGCCCTAAGCCCCGGAAAGAGTGAGGTGTCCATTCTCACCGGTTTTCTCGGCGCGGGCAAAACCACCCTCCTGAACCACATCCTGCAGAATCAAGAAGGTGCAGTGCTCTGTCTATAGTCTCCATTGTGGTTCTTTTTTTGGTTAGCCAATTCTAGGATTGGGATCCTATACGTAGTATGTAAAACGGCTAACCACAATTAGGAACTACAATGGAGACTATAGGTGGGTTAAGGGCCTGGGGTTCAGGACTTAGGGTTTTAGGGCTTTGGGCGTGGGGGCAACCCGGTACCTCCAAAATCCTCTACTAGTATAGTCGAATCAATAGTTGCCACTGTTGTCCTTCTTGTGCTATACGATACTGCAGTACATCTCAAAACCCGGTGCAAATTGTTAAGGCCCCCCACATTGTTTCTTCCCAAAGGACTGGAGCCCTAACGCTTTGCATTAATGTAACTGGTTGGAATTGTAGAACCCGTATGCAGAAGGCAACCCCTTGCTGAAGGTTTAATGCACGCGGCTTAAAGCTCAGAACCCCGGCCATTTCACCATAGACCTTCAACGGTGTTCTACAACACCCAATCTAAAGCCTGTGTCGGAGGTGCACGAGTAGCCGTGTTCGTCAATGAATTCGGGGCAGTGGATGCTTGGTCTGCCAAAAAGCTGGTATTCAGGCCCTTGCAAAGGCACTTAACTTGCGACTGCAAGTTACCAGTACCAGAAACCCGCATTACTCACTCTAGATGCGTATTATGGTAGAGCCCTAAACCCTAAGCTACTCATTATAGATCCCTATTATGGTAGCTAAGCTTAAACATTCGACCAAGATCGCAGTGGAGCTGGTGTTGACTGAAGAGACCCTCTCTTTTTCGTGGTCCCCTTTAAGCTTTAGGGTCTCGCTTGCAGGGTTTAGGGTGTAGGGTTGCAAGGGCATAGCGACATTATAGGGTTTAGGATTTAGGGTTTAGGGTTACAGGGTCATAGGGTTTTAAGTTATAGGGTTTAGGATGTCGAGCTTGCATTGACAAATATGTGTAGTCGGGAACTGCGGGACCATGAGAATCCAATTGGATGTAGGGGTGTTACGGCTGAAGGTTCCGGTTTAGGGGTTTATGGCTAGGGGTTTAGAGCCATATACCGCGATTCATTGTTTTTGTGTCTCGGTTTAGGGGTTCAGGGGGTTAGGGGTTCAAGGTTTAGGGTTCGGAGCCATTTACTTAAAGGGTTTAGGGTTTATATAGGGGTTTCTCTGGCAGTACGAAAGCCGGCCCTTTAGTGCCAGAACTCCCCTTGAGCCTCAGCCGGAAAGAAAGCCGAAGAAAGACGCTCCGAGCCCTCCAACAAAGAGTCCTCCATCACAGGGACCCATAGCAGGGTAGGGGGAGGGGGGGGGGGCGCGGGGTAAGGAAGTATAATCCCCTACTCCTAAGTGTCCCTATGACTCAACTCTGTAAAGAAAACCTTTAAAGATCGCCACTACCGTTGATGATGTAGATCCTACTACCCATAATAAGGAATATACCACAATTCCCATAGTCTAGGGTCATGAAGGTAATGCAGGATTTATGTCATCAACCCTAAACCCTAAACCTTCAACCCTATATGAACCCTATAGATCCCTTAAAGGAACCCCTTAAAGGTACCCTCAACCGTAGGAACCTTGATACAAGCCGAGGATCGCCTCAATGATTTGTCATAGACCCCTCAAAATCCTCTGAAAACCCTCACCCCGAAGCCTACTTGGAGGGTCGGGGCACTTAGTAAGTAGGTAGTAAGTAGACTTATAAGTACCCCAAAAGGGACCCTAATTGGGGTTATGGTACTTATAAGTCCCTAAAATAACCAGTTACTAAGTCCCCCGACCCTCCCCCAAGAAGTAGATAGAATCATGGCCCAGCACCTATCCAAGGCTGTTTTGGTGCGATAGAGACTTTATCTTACCCTTGATAGAAGGTGCGTGTTCTGCATGGTTTTGCACCTGGAAACCCCAACACTCAGGATATTGACGGAGACCTGATTCGCTGGCAAGGGCACGTGGACGAGCAGAGGCCATGGGGGTTTAGGGTTTCAATATCGGTACATTACTACTTAGAATAGGGCTTTGGGTGGAGGGCAGAGGGTATTCTGTACTAGAACGATAACCAGCAACCCAAGATCCCAAAAGCCTAACTAACTACCATCACATTCCCAAGTGCCTTTTAATGAAACGATTTATATAGAGGGCAGAGAGGCTACCAGTAGACTAGACGGCTGTACAGGTATATACTACTGCAAAGCTCGCTGAGTCCTAGTTCGACTCTCTCTGAGGGCTTCATTTGAAGCCTTCAGAGCGTTGAAATCTCCAACTGAAACTTTGGAGTGTAGAGTCAGAGTGATATGCCAAGTTCAGGGTAACCAAAGCAGATGAACTGACAACTCCACGTATGAAGTCTCCCGCACCTCCCAAACATCGGTTTAGGGTCCCCAAAGGCTCCATGTACCCTTATAGTAGATACTTAGGCCCTAAAGTGGTCCCTATGTAGGTACTTTAAGGCCTAAGTATCTACTATAAGGGTACATGGAGCCTTAGGGGTCCAGGGCCGAGGTTTCCGTCGCAAGCCCGAAAACCCTCAACCCTGAGTCCTCCCTCATCAAGTCCTAAACCCTGAAACTCTAATGGGTGGTTGTCAAAATTAGGGTCCCCTTTTGGGTCCCTCATATAATACGGCACCTAATATTTAGGGTGCCCAAAAGGGATGAAAATTTTGACAACCACCCCTATACAACGGAGAGACACTGTTTTGCTTACAGGCTTCCGCGTAATGGCTCCGCCGGTAGGGTGCCGGGACAGGTTGAATCCCAGATGTCTTACCTTGAAAGCAAAGATACTAAACTCACATCGTGTTTCCTCCAACACTTCCCCAAATCGAAACCCTACGAACCCTACACCTTGAAGCGTAAAGCCCTACACCCTACGCCCTACTTGGAGGCCCTTTTGACTTAGTAAGTCTACTTAGTATCCCCTAGAAACCCTATTATAATCCCCATAACTTGCCTTACTAACCCTACTTACTAAGTCAAAAGGGCCTCCAAGTACCCCAACCCGAAACCCGTAAGCCCGAAAGGGTGGTCACCTTGGACAACGGCTGCATGTGCTGTGAGGCGCCTGTAGAGTTCCGAAATCACTTGGAGGGTCGGGGGACTTAGTAACTGGTTATTTTAGGGACTCATAAGTACCATAACCCCAATTAGGGTCCCTTTTGGGGTACTTATAAGTCTACTTACTACCTACTTACTAAGTCCCCCGACCCTCCAAGCAGCATCGACAATCCGTGGCGTTCTTCTGGTTGGCTCTTTAGACTATAACTTTTTTGGGTTTCGATATGAACTCTAATAATAAGGATGCTAAAAGTTTAACTTTTAGGAGGGGTTCAGAAGTCCGCCAAGAATCGTTCGTAACACACAGTTTGCTGATCGTCCTGATGGACAGATAGATATACCTTTTTGTATCCATGTATGCATCTGTGTATAGCTCCCCCCAACCTCCTAGGCCTTATTGGAACCGCTTAACCCCTAACCCTTAAACCCCTAAAGCCGAATCCGTAAACCGTGTTTCAAGTTTACTGCATAGGGTTTTTCAGGAACTGCAATCGGGTTTTCCTTAAGGAAAACCGGCGGCACACATCCGTCCACAGGAAGTTGTGGCTCTCCTTCAGCATTCTTCAGCTGTCGACCTCGAGCAGGGAGCATCTTCCGGGAGTTTATACACCGAAGAAAGGCGGCAACAAGGAGTGCCATTCAGGCGGCTTCCGTCGGTTGACACCTGGCCTGAACTCGGAACTTTCGAACTGTGCAGCAAGTAAGCAGTGACCTTCCTCGACGCCAGACGCGACCCAAAACCCTTCTAGAGAGGGGTCATAAAAGCCAGAATAAGTCGTTGGGTGAACATTAAAATAAGGGAATGTTGTTTGGAGCGCTGTCAAACTAAAAACACTGTCCCGTCAGGGTTGTAGGTTAGTTATGCAGACGATGGCTTGGGCATGGTTCAGGGCCGTGGGGACCCCTGGGTTACGGGATTCGTGTTCTCTCCAGTTTCCACTCCATGAATGCATTTTGCACTTTACATGTGTTTGTCATGGGCGTGTTATCTTCTGTCTGCCATGTTGCTAAAGACTCTGAAGCACAGTGGGACTATTCTTGTCATTACCATACCTATAGTATAGTTCTTAGTTAAGGGCTTGTGGGTGTTCCGGGTCTGCGAACTCGCACGCTGAATACATCCTGGACAGACTCCTCAATGCGAAATCGTACCATAAGCCCTATTTCAGCTTATTTCTAAATGTGCAGTCGAACTGTCGCACAGGTGAACGCCGACCTAGAGCGACAGCTGCGGCTCTTGCTGCAGGCAGGAATCGACTCGGGTAAAGTCCTACACACCTAGATCTGGAATTGTAGCTAAACAGACCCGTTAAACCCTCATATCGGGGGTTGGATTATCACTAGTCATACATATCCGATATCCGCTTATTGTCCGTATGTAACTATATGATCTGATAATATGCCCCGAAGTCGTATTCTAATTGTACAGAAGATTCCGATAGTACTCGGAAGCTGCTTGCACTCCTATCATTCACGGGGACTGCTCTTTCGAGACCCCGTTCAATTCTGTACGTCCATCATGAAACAGATCGTTTGAAGACAAGTTCCCTTGCGTGAAGGTTGTGATGATGCCACTCAGCATATCCCTAAGGGTCCATGTACCCAAATAGTGTATACATTGGCCTTAATGTAGTCCCTATATAGATACATTGGGCCCAAAGTGTATACTATTTGGGTACATGGACCCTTAGGGTATGCCAGCTGCCCCAGACCCTCAAGCCTCGAAACCACATGCCATGCGCGAACTTGACGTTCATGGGTTTTTTGAGGCGCAGACAGGATCGTTGAGTTTGGAAAGTTCGGATCCGGTGTCAAGTCACTGTCACATGGGTCGCCTTGAACCCTTGAAGAGCCGAGCAATCCTAGAAAAAGAAAACGAAGAGGCGCCCCAATTCTGAGGTCCCGCCTGATGGGTTGGATGTTCGGCTGCCGCTCTGGATGGACAGTTCTAAGATGAACTACGCATATGACAGTTTCTTGGTGAGGCGAAACAAAAGACACAAGCATATTAAACAAATCCAAGTTCATCGGATCCCTCCCCCCCCCCACCCGCCTCTAACAAACCACGCCCGATGCGCCGTTTCAGCCATGCGAGGCCCACGCCGACCAGGTCGAAAATCTTGCCCGCGCCTGAACGTATTCCTGGACCTGCCCAGCTTCTTCGTGCAGTAGGGTATAGTTCTCCAAATTAAGGTCCCTTTCAGGGTTCTTCTTATAAGCGTGTCGTACGAAAATGGAGCCTAATTCAGATGGGAGTTTCCGAAAAAAGGGGACCTTAACATATTTAACATAGTACCCTAAATAGTAGGATCCTTAGTATAAGGACCCCAAAATAAGGTACCCCTTAATTTTGGAAATTCCAGGATAACTACCCAGTAGGCTCTTCAAACGAATTGTAAGTGCAAATGCCTGTCGGTTGGTTTCTTGCGGAAAGACTTCTGGTGCTGGGAGTCTGGCGGCGTAAGATTCATCCCAAGAAGAGGGAAGCCTACGATGAAATTTCGGATAAGCTCCTGGCTTCTGTTTGAAAACGGTCCTGCTGAAAGACACATGGTTTACGAAACGCAGCATGTATGCTCCGCGCACGACTCGCATCTACAGTTGAGTACACCCTAAGATCTTGATCCCAAAGCTGTTGCCGTTGCATAAATGAAATGGAAGCCGGATTGCCCTGAACCAGACCATAAACTCGAAACCCAACGCCCTAGGCGCTGAACCGCGACCCCAAGCTCTAAACAAGGATTTGATCATCATCAACCCTTGACCCTAAACCAGTAGAGCCCGAAGCCCTTAAACCCGGAACCTTGACCCCTGAACCATTTGGATGGTTGTCAAAATTGTCGTCCCTGTTTGGGTACCCTAAATCATAGGTGTCGTATTATAGTAGGGACCCCAAAAGGGACCCTAATTTTGACAACCGCCCAGTTGAATCCTTAAGCCCTAGACCCCAAGGATTTGATCATCATCGAAACGAGCGGTCTTTGCGACCCAGGCGCCTCAACCCTAAACCCTAAACCCTAAATCCTAAACCCTAAACCGTGTAAGAGTGTGTTTAGTGTTTAGGGCTCAGAGGATTAGGATCCAGAGTGGAGGGTCCAGGGCTTAGGGTCTTAGGGGTTAGGGCTGAGGCGTTTAGGGTTCAGGGTCTGGGATCGCTTTTGTGGTTTTTGGGGTTTAGGGTCTAGGATAGGAGTCGTGTAGCCGTTTGGACGTCAACAACCTGTAGGATTTTGACATCTCTCTCAATTGTTTAATATTACGATGTTCTGGGGGCGTTCAGGGTTTGGGGTTTGGGATTGAGGGTGCTGTGCCTGCGGGTGAGAGCTTTCAGGGTTTAGGTCTACGAGCTATTGAGGTTGCTTTGTACTAACTCCTCTTCTGCCTTTTCAGTCGCTGTGGTCTTTGTATCAGGCATTCTTTCTGCACATATCATGCCGTCGTTTCTCGCTCTCTCTTTCTCTGCCTCTCTCTCGTTCTCGTTATATTTCTCTTTTTCTCTCCCTCCCTCTCTCTGTGTCTCACTCTCTCTCTCTCTCTCTCTCACTCTTTCTCTCGTTCTCTATTTCTCTATTTCTCTGACTCTCTCTTTCTCTTTTTCTTTTTCTTTATCTTTCTCTTTCTCTTTCTCTCTCTCTCTCTCTCTCTAGGGCCTTTGGGCTGCAGTAGACCCAGCTCCCAGACCCCGCCCTGAAATCAAGCTCTGCCTGAAATCCCAGCAAACCCCGATAGAACCCTGAAGGAAGCCCTCATAGGATTTTTTCCCAGAATCCTGTCAGGTCCCTGTTATAAAGCCCTAGACTTGGACCCCGAAAACCCCCCAAATCCACACCCTAAACCCAAACCGGCAGTCTTCGAGAACTCCAAGCATTACTGTAGGGGCCTTGATAGGGGTCATTCTGTAGGGTTTAGGGTTCCTTTAAAGGGGTCTAGAAGGGCTACCATAAGGGCTAATTACTAAGAGGATTTAGTATAGGGGCCTAGTAGTTACCAATACAATTTTGGTAGTTCCCTTTGTAATAATAGCATAATGGGCCCCAAAGCCCCAGTCTAAGTATTAAGGCCCCTAACTGAACCCTTATAGGCCCACTTTTGAAGGACCCCTTAAAAGGAATGCTGTTCTAATTATTAAGGCTCCGGTAGTCCTACTTCAACATCTGTCAATGAAGTAATCACACCTGAAAAATTGAAGAAACCCTATTCTACTAATTAAGGCCCCTAGAAGGCCCTGAAAGTAGATTCCTTAGATCCACCGCGCCATTAGGGCCTGTGCTGGACACGCTGTCGCAACTGGAAGACTTGGTGGGGAACCCGGTTTAGAGCTTAGGGTTTACGGTTTTGTCATTTAGGGTTTAAGGTTTTCTTGTTTCGGGTATGCAGTCTAAGGTTTTCTTGTTTATAGGGTTTAGGGTTTAAGGTTTTCTTGTTTCGGCTTTAGTTTAGGGTTGTCTTGTGTAGGGTTTAGGGTGGTTTAGGGTTTAGGGCCCACAAAGACCCACATTTCGGGAAGGGTTTACGGTTTCTTATCATGGTTTAGGTGTAGGTTCCAGGGCGTACATGTAGGGAAGGGTTTGGGGTTTGGGGTCATTGGGTCTAGTAGAGTCCCTGCGTAAGTCCTGAATGGAGGACAGGGCCACGCTTGAAATCCCGCAGCATCCTGAGCCCCCTGAACCTAACCCCGCTCAAGCCTTCAACCCGCACGTCAAGGCTTTTTCTTTGCACCTGGATACCGCCTGCTCCCCAGACTATTGAGGGATTCGAGTTTCGAGCTACCCTCGAGCGTAGGGTTTGCGTATAAGCTTGGGCTTGACGAGTAAAAGTTTGTACCATGCACGCCTGAAGAATTACCAACAATCCTCCCTTGGGTTCCTCATTGGATAGGTATATTTTACACAAGCCCACAGCCCGATTCTGATGATTGAGGTTCCTGTGTTAGGATTTGGAGGTCAGGTTTAGTAGAGATTGGACTTTCGTTTCGGTTTTTGTCAAGTTTGGGGTTGTGCAGGGCTGCAGACTACCTGTAAACCAAGAGGGTCCATAGATGCGACTACGTACTATGATATCTGGTAACCCGAGAACCTGACTTACAATGGTTTTTCACGGCCAACTTCCATGATAGTAGTATCGTTGGACCCTCGGGGACATGTTCCGGCGAACTGCATCACGGGACTACTACTCAGTCTTCAGGCCCCAGAATGTAAACTCAGAGATTCAGGTGGTGTAAAAGATTTGAAGGTAGGACGTAAGTTGCCACAAGCCACAGAATGCCAGGTCATGTATTGCCACAGCTTCCAAGAGCTAGCATTTCCCAAACGAACTTCAACCCTGAACCGTAAAGCCTCAAGCCCAGAGAATTGAACCAGAAAAGAAGCACGCCAAAGCCCCTCACTTGGAGGTTCAGGGGTAGTTATAAGTGGGGTTATAAGTCCCTAACAAGGGTTATAAGTATAGTTACCCCACTTATAACCCTACTTATAAGTACTCATGAACCTCCAAGCAGTCCGAGAAGCAGGCCCGCCATGCAGGGTTGTTGGGGCTTCAGGGCCTTGGTATCAGCTGGCTTTGGGGTTTGAGGTCTGGTTCCTGAGTTCAAAAGCCCCCAAAAGTGTACACTTTCAGGTTTACATAGGGAAATATTGTCCCAAAAAGTGTACTGGCAAGACAGAACTGTCTGGATAGCAAGTGCAGTCATGAATAATTATTCGAAAATGCTGCTGGGAACAGCACTATTCCGTATAGTTCCGTGCGGTGCCAGTTAGTTACATCACCACTACCCAAGACGTGAGTACGACCTACCGCCACCACTACCACAACCACGTCGGCTACCATCGGGGTATTCCTACTGGTACCGCCACTACTTTTCTTGCTCCTCCTACGCCTTTTCCTACTGTGATGATTATTCTTACTGCGACCACCACCACCACCACCACCACCACCACCACCACCACCACCACCACCACCACTACGACTACCACCACACTACACCACTACCACTGCCGCTACCGCTACCGCTACCGCTACCGCTGCCGCTACCGCTACCGCTACCGCTACCGCTACCGCTGCGGCGGCTGCTGCTGCTGCTGCTGCTGCTGCTGCTGCTACTGCTACTGCTACTGCTTACTGCTACTGCTACTGCTACTGCTACTGCTACTGCTGCTGCTACTGCTACTGCTCCTCCTTATGCTCCTGCTTCTGCTAGTACTACTGCCTCTACTGCTTCTACTCTTTCTACAGACACTACTGCTTCTACTGCATCTAGTTCTACTACCTCGACGACTGATCTGGTCCGTGTGCTGCTGTGGTGCTGGCTTAAACTCTCGCATCACCATGTCCTAAACCCTAAACCCTAAACCCTAGCTCTGTCCGAGGTCGTTACAGTCGTCGATGCGAGCCACTTCAATGAATCCACCTCCTTGCCAAAATCTGCTGAGGCCACCTTGCTTCCCCTAAACCCTAAACCCTAAACCGAAACCCTAAACCTTATGGGTTCCTTTGAGGATTCCTTCTACCCGCACTTCGAAAGTTCGCCATGGCATAGAAGCCCTAAAGCAGCTTCCCGCATAGAAGCCCTAACTCAAAGGGTAAAGGGAGGGACCCTTCATAAGGACCCCTAGGTATATACCCTTAGTTTAGCTATTATATACCCATTATATAGCTCATTATAGGGTAGGGGTCCCCATTAAGGGTGACTAAAGCATACCATACAGCCGATGCGTAAAACACCAGAATCCTGTCCCAAATCCTAGAGCAGAAGCCTTAAACCCTACCTTAACCCTGAATAACCTACATTTTTAGGGTTCCTCATTATGATTTCCTTCTGTAAGTCCTAAAAAAAGGTAGGTCCTTCCGGGTTAAGGTAAATCCTAAACTTGAGCTTTAAGTGATGTTGGGCCTGGTTGGGCTGACGGCGCCGGAGGGAGGTCCGGTTTAGCAGAAAGCTGTGAGGCTCCGGTTTGGGGATCGCTACCTTCTGTTTCAACCCTAAGCCGTTGTGAGAGAAATCACAGCATTTTTGTTCAAAAAAATTGGCTTTAAGCTTATGGGCGATGGTAAACATGGCAGTGAGGTGTCTTGGTGTAGTCATGGCCACCTTAGAATCGTGGCAAGTGTAGCCGTCGTGCTAAAGTGCATGATGTTGGTGATGATGATGATGATGATGGCGATGGTGAGGATGATGATGGTGATGGAGATGGTGATGATGACTATGTTGATGCACACTGTTGGGTCGTATGGGGACATGAAGGTGGTGCGAATAGTTTGGAACGATCCTCACGTGGGGCTTGGGGTCTGGCTTGCGGCATAGATTCGTGATTTCTTTGACGAAAATGGCTCGGAAAAGGGTTACCTTGAAGGTTCTTTTTTTGAACTCCTTTTCTCGAGAGACAGCAGTCTGCACTCTAGAAAGGCTTAGACACCTTGAACGTTTTTTAGGGTTTTGGGGTTTAGGGTGTAGGGGTTTAGAGTTTAGGTTATATACATATTTATAAACCCAACACAGGCTAACGGTTGCCTTATTAACCAGCCCCTGGGTCCATACTCATGAACCTAAAAGCTCTTGCCAAAGGACTCAGGGCCATGATGCTGTGGAGGGCGACGGTCACGGTCACGGTCCTACTTGTCGGGTATCATGGGGAACTTAAGATTAGCCTTTTTGGTTATACAGGGATTATCTAGGGACAAAGCTACCCCAAAAAAAGTTAAAGGTTCCCTACTCTACTACCAGGCGGTCACAACATGTCAAACCACCTTGACGGTCATGGCGATGATGAGTGGGATTGCGCCGGTGAAGATGAGAATGACAATAGTAACAACGATGGGATACAGCAGCGACTTGCTTTAAGGTAAAAGCCAGAAAGTTGGAATATGATTATCCTAACCCTTCTATGGTAAATTATAGGGTATCCTACCATGAAACCATATTCCAACTTTCTGGAGTTCCTTGTAAGACTTGTACAGCTTGTGACGGGGGTGCTCAGCCCCTCAGTCGAGGAGCTGGGCCTCCAGGGCACGGCGTCCCAACAGCTGAAGCAGCTTGGCGAAGGCTTTAAGTTTTGGGGCTTAGGGTTTAGGGGGTTCAGGGTTTAAGTTTTGGGGTTCCTTTAAAGGGATGCATAAGGGATTTATAGGGTTTAAGGTTTAGGGGGTTTAGTGTTTAGGGTTTAAGTTTTGGGGTTGGGAGGCCTAAGGTCTACCCTAAAATTAAGGGTTTAGGGTTTGGGGTCCGTTAAACCCTAAACCGTATACACCCCTAAACCCGGACGTTTCCGGAGCTTCCGTAGCTGGCAGAGTCCCAATCTTGCGGTGAAACCTTCGGGGTTGATCTCCCGAAGCGCCCTAAACCCACAGGTGCACACGAGATGTACGTATGTACGCATGCATGGATGGATGGAGGGATGGATGGATATGTGACGATGGTGAAATCGGCCTGCTGGCCCGTTTGGTTCTCCGTCCGCATTCTTTCAGCCTCTGTTTTCGTGCAGCCCCCTAAACCCCCCAAAGTAGGTAAAATAATGACCCAATACCTATAAAAGGCCATTATTCTACCTACTTTGGGGGTCCAGGCAAAGGTTTAGGACCTGGGCTACCAAGGCAAAGGTTTAGTACGACAAAGCCTCAACAAAAACCAGTGAATTTGGGTCCAGCGGCGCTGAAATCGTTGGTGTGTGGGATTGGAAGCCTAGAGGTTGGATGGGGCCTTGGCCGTGCTGTGTAGCAGCTTATGTAGGCCACTTGAACTCTAATGGCTCGCTGAGTAGATTTGGGCTTACTAACCGTATCTGATTGCTTTTCAAGCGCATGAGCAGCTAAATAGTTAGAGCCCAGTAATCGCCATGGAAAGGTATGTTAGTATAGCTTATGTCTGAACCTGAAACCCTGGACTGTGTGACTTCGAGCGAGAGCTGTTGACTGCCTAGGGTTTCAGGGTGTATGTCGCGGCCTCCAAGCCTAAAGACCATGCTGTGCAAGGGTTTTGGGATGCTTTTAATGCTTCTGTGACAGAGTTTTAGAGTTTAGGGAACGGCTCTTTGTTGCTCTGCGAGATGATATGTTTCTGGCGCAGAAGTCAGGGTGAGTGGCCCAGATTCCTCCGAACACTTGACAAGATTTTTCACAGTCCTTATACTGACGGTTATCCCCTTATCACAAAAAAAGCTGGGTACTCTTATCAAGAGGGGGTTACTCAGTACCCTGGTATCCGAAAGGCAGGCTACGACTCCATGAAAGACTATCCTACTTGCGAAACTCAAGTCTGCCCGGGCGCGGGGAAAAGAAGGTGTCTAACCACAACCTCGATAAGTACTTGGAGGTTCATGGCCACCTATAAGTAGAGTTATAAGTAGGGTAACTTATAACCCATATTAGGGGACTTGTAACCCTACTTATGACTACCCCTGAACCTCCAAGTAAGGTCTCAGGCTTTAGGATGGAATGGCTCTTGTGGGTGAGGATTTGCAGAGCGCCTTGCCACCATCGCGTCAGCCAGGTACTGCGACTTGATACTCTTGTTCAGCCGGCATGCTTTGCACTGGAAGTTACATGCAAAAGTTTAACCCGTACTTGCACCAGCCTTGCAGTACCCGAGCGCAAGCAAACTGCATATCGGCTTCCGGGGGAACTTGTGTCCTGACTACCATCTCCCTCGCCCCCAAACCCCAAGCTGCAAATATGCTAAGCCTTGAAGGCCTCATCCCTTCAAGCTTGACCCTTAAGCCCAAAACCTAAGCCCTATAAACACTTAGCCTAAACTCCAAGCCACAAAACCCTAGACCCTTTATACTGCATAAGACCATACTCCAGCCCGGACCCGAATAGAGCAATCCAGTTATAATTGAAATTCAGTTATAGTATAAGCCAGAAAGTTGGAATATGATTATGCTAAAGCTTTTATGGTAAATTATAAGGTATCCGACCCTGAAACCATATTCCAACTTTCTGGAGTTCCCTTTATAATTATGGGTATGGGCTTGTGACACGGTTCTGTAGGACTCAGCAAACCTTGTCGTGATCACAAAGACTACCAGTGATTACCCGGATGGAGACCTACAGAGCCATCTCCGTTGGGGACGAGATGGGGCAGGTCCCGAGAGACTTCACAGGATTGGAGCCAGCAAGATTGAAACTGCCAGGTGCTGCCCTGGCCGGTGCAAACCGCCGAAGGAAGACGACAACAAACGATGATAGGGCTGCCCTGCTGCTCATGAAGTCTTGGATAATTCCGTTGCTCCTGCTTTTGATTCAGTGTCAGGCAATCATTTTGCTGCTATAGAAATTGTAGGCATGATGGAGAATCTGACAGTTACTCCTATTGAGTGTGTTCCTTTCTGAAGAACACCAAAACCCGGACGGCGGAGCTCACTAGGAGGCTCGGTGTACATCTGTGGTAACAAAGCATGAATGTACGTATGCCCTCCATGGCCTAGGCAACTATACTGCAGGACCACATCATTGGGTTCTAGGCAGACTCTCAGGAGGTAATCGGAAACAGAACTCTTCGCTTAGAAGGAGTATATACATTGTTTAGGTTCAGCAGGGTTCAAAGTTTGGGAAGTGATAGAATTCCTGAACACAGCAAGTCACGTCTGTGAAATCATATAGTCTAAACAAGCATATGGTTCTTGTGTTCGGGAATGCAGGTGGACATCATCATAACCAGCCCAAAACACGAAACAGTTCCTTGCGGCTTCTGATGACCGTAGGCCTAGGGTCGAGGATGAACTGTAGGGGTGTTAATGGATAGTTTTGGAGTAGGCCGGCGTGATAGGTCTCGTGACGACTCTCGTGCAGTTTCGTGGCACGCCCGCTGGGGTAGATAATCGCAAAAGCCAGCATAGACGGCATAGAGGCACAGGTATGATAAGCTGATATTGTTGCAAACTCCTCAAGCGGCCACCTCGAAGCCCTGTATCCCTATTCCGGAAGTCTTGTCTAGCCCGAGCCCTGAACTCGAGGCGCCGACTGGGATGGTATATTGGAAAGCACCTTGTTGCAAGATCCTGTCGCTTGCGCTCCATTCCACTGCAGACCCTGAACTCTAAAACCTAAACTCTACTTGGAGGCCCTTTTGACTTAGTAAGTCTACTTAGTATCCCCTAGAAACCCTATTATAATCCCCATAACTTACCTTACTAACCCTACTTACTAAGTCAAAAGGGCCTCCAAGTAGAAAGCTGATGTAGGAACCTGCTTAGGGAACCCTGGGCCCGCAACCCTAAAATGGGATTCGTGGCCCAAGGTCTCTTCATCAGGATCCTACATTCCCCTACCCTCTGAACCCTCTGAACCCTGAACTCTGACAACCCTAAACTCTAGAAAGCTACTGTATTTCGATTCACCATAAACTGACAAGCTTGCCCCTGCTTGGGCTCGGGTACTCAGCCCCCCCGAGAGAGCTGCTGTGTTTCGATTCCCAGTGCTTCGCCAGGAACAAATGCGACCTGCTCGGGGGCATCGGGTCGCCGGCCGCAGATGCCGCAGAGGAATCCCTACTATAGGGGCCGGAACAATTACCAATACTATTTTGGGGGTTCCGTATTATAATGTTAGTAGAATGGGCCCCAAAACCCTATTCTAATTCCTAAGGCCGCTATAGTATGCTTTCTGGCCTAGGGCCCTTTAACGGGATGTATGGGCTCTGTATGGGATTGATCCCGGTTTTGTAGGGTTTTACTATAGGGCACAGTTGAGATGAAGTATCTGACGGAGTATGGTTGGGGTCCTTGGGTTTGTGCTAAGCTGCTTACACTTCCCTGCAGCTGTGCAGTCCATTCATATTCCATGTATAGTCTGGGCTTTGGAGTACCATACTTTAGTACTTTTTTTCTTAATGGAACCATTATGAAATAAAAGTTCATACTTTTTCTTCCTGGTTACTTAAAAGCCCAGTAGTATGACTCTGTGAGCTTCGGAATGGCATTGATTCAGTCAGTCCTAGGTTTGGAGCTTATGGGTTGCAGGGTCTTGGGGTTATAACCCCAACCCGAAACCCTGAGCCCTGAAACATTCAATCTCTAAGCCCGAAGCCTAAAACCAAGGAGCCTTAAATCCCTCATACCTAGCAGCCGCTAGGCCCACTTGCAGCTTGCACACGGGATGTGTTGCTTCTGATGGTGTTGTTTGGGGATACGAAACGAGGATCTAGGGACCCCGATGTGCTCTAATGCCAAAACCCTCACGCAACTAGAAGAGCAAGTAACAGTTTTAATGCCTACTCTGACGGAATATCTGGTCCCCCAAGTTCAATACCTAGTTAGTAGTCTAGGTTTGGGAGAATCTAGATACAAGTCAGTGGAAAAGGTCTTACGGAACTGTTTAAGGCACGATATTAATTGTAGACTTTTTCTTCGTGACATGATACCCATCAACGCCTCCGGCGCTATGGCAACATCGAAGTGTGGATTTGTGGAAGTGGGGAGTGTCAAGGTGCCTTTGTGCTCAAGGCTTCCTACTTTGGTCTTGAAGCCGGTCAAAGACAAAGATGCTCCCAGCACGTCTATTGCCACTGAGAAGATGATCAACAACGCGCAGTCGAAGCAGGCTAAGGACAAGAAAACAACGGACGACACTTGCGGCGATACGTGTGCCACAGTTGTCAAGTTGCTTCTTGAGGGTTTCAGTTTATGTAGCCCTGAAAAACAAACCGCACAAGTTCTGCAGGCTTTCATAGTTCTTCGTCGCGGTGGGTTTCCACAGGATCTACCTCCAAATCCGGCTCCTGTTCGTAGTGGCTCTTCTATACGCCAATCTCTCCCGAACCCTAAACCCTAGCCCCCAAAAGTCTGCCCTCTTTAAGTTCTTATGGACTTGTAATACAGGGATATCAGAACAAGGAACGGTTCAGGTAAACCCTAACTTACTCAATTTAGATTAAAAACTCAAGATGGATCCCACAAAGTCGTGGGATTGGTGTGTCCCTTGTTGAGAATGTGACAGACATCAGAGGGATTCGTTGGGGTTTAGTATTTCGGGTCCGCTGATGTAGGGCCTAAATAATTAATATACTATTTAGGGGGGAGGGGGTCCCTGATTCTATTTGTAGTATAATGGGCCCCAAAACCCTATTCTAAGTATTAAGGCCCCTATATTAGGGTCCGCTGCTCCATCAATTGGAAAAATCAGCCGGGGACATCCTGAAGTTCAATTTATCAACAAGACCCAGCGTGCATTCCGGATGTCGCTACATCCCTTCTGAGCAAAAATCCCCAAATCCCATACCCCACCATCAATCACCCAACTCGAACCCCTAAACCATGAAAGCAAGACACAAATCCCCGAACCCAACACCCACGAACCCAAAATGCCTGCCCCGCAACCCTTGTATAACCCCTAAACCATTCCATTCCGGAACTCAGAGCAACAGAACGCAACTCCCTAAACTAACCCCAAACCCCTATAGATCCCTTTAAAGGAACCCTATAGATCCCTTTAAAGGAGCCCTACCGGGCCCTGCAACCTGAAGCACCCTCAAGCCCCATGCTTTATGCCACCTGAAAGTGTAGAGGCTTCACTGAGAAGGCTGCTGCACACGCAGTCGACCGTGCGGAGCCTGGAGAAGTGGGTTCGTTCTCAAAGGGTTTATTAATTTCTGTAAGTTTAGGTGTTCAAAACAGATCTATATAAAGGGGTGTTCTTAAGGGTTTCCATCAGTATGCGATCTGTGGTTCAACCATCACCTGGTGACAAGCATCCTCCTGGTTTTCTGTGCCGCTATCTTGGGCGGTGGGTAGGTCACCCTCAACTTCTTTTGCATGGCTACATTAGCTCTGTTCGGGGCTAGAGTCTAGAGTTTTCAGCCGTTTAGTTCTACCACCGCCAAAAATACAAGACTGCAACACTTGCTTTGAGTTTCGGGGCTATAGTAACCCTTGACCCTCGGCTGAGCCCTAAAACCCTAAAACCCTAAACCCTCACCTGGCCCCCAAGCCCTTAAACCGCAAACCCTAAACCCCAAACCCTCAACCCCAAATCCTACCTTCTCTGGTTGATCAGGAAAACAGAGCTGTTGAGGGCTTTCTGGTTTCGGTCGGAGGGTCGGGGTCTTGGGTTTAGAGGTAAGGGATTTTGGGCTCAGGCTCCAGAGTCGCGTTGAGGGCTTTTAAGGGTTGCTGGTTGGTTTAGAGGTTATAGGGGTTTGGGATGTAGAGTGTAGAATTCAGGGTTTTTTGGATGTCGCGGAATTGCGGCGTAGGGGACTCTACTTCCCTAAATAGGCCTTATTATAAGCCCTTATTAGAGGTATGCAGGCCCCCAACCCCCCCTTCGTGTGGCCGCTTGGGGCTTCTTCTTCTTCTTCTTGAGGCCGCCTCGGTGATTCCGGGCCGGGGGTTCGAGGACGAAGCTTCTTAACATGGGAGCGTGGCATCATTACCTTAGGGACATGCCTCCTTTAAGGGCTCCATGGGGGTTTAGGGTTGAGGGCTTAATATAGGGGCCTGAGTAGCAATTACGTATACTGTTTTTGGGGGTTCATTATTATTTGTATAGTATAATAATGGGAGCCCCAAAACCCTATTCTGATTATTAAGGCCCCTATATTACACAGGTTCTTGTACACGAAGTCCACTGTAGCAGAAGTTTATGGGCATGCAGTTCTCTACATTAGGGTCCCTTCTTCTTGTCTAGCGTGCCGCATTCTGTTTGGGACTTAAAACGGGAGCACCCATATGGGTGGTTTTCAAAATTATGGGGTCCTGTTTTGGGTCCTTATGATACTACGGCACCTATTATTTAGGGTACCCAAAAAAAGGACCGTAATTTTGACAGCCACCCATACAAAGGCGAAGAGCCATACTGCTGTTTTGAGGTATTCCGACCCCGAATGGGCATCCCCGAACTGTTGCAGGCTCGACAAAGCAGCCAGTGCGAAAAAAATATGGATCAAGTGCCAGATAAGCGACAGCCCCAGGGGCTCTTGATCCCAAAACCTAGACTCTAAACCCTAAACCCCCAAACCCTGAACAAAAAGCTTGTCTACTCTTGGCAACTGGGTCCTCTAACCCTAATGTAGAAACCCTGGTACTAACACCTAAGCCCAAGAAGCCTAACAGCGAAAAGCGAAGTTTTGAGAGGTACTACCTCGCATCCTCCGATCTGAGCATGCAGAAGTAGCCCGGGCCACCCAGCATTGGCCGATGTTGGCTCGCCGCCGGTTTTTCGGTTCGGGGGTGAAGCGGTTTCGGAATTAAGGGCATGCGAGGTCCGGGGCGAGTTCTTCTTCCGTACCAAACTACATAACAAGAAGCTCCGCTGTTAAAGTGAAAGTTAGATTTGGGCGACCAAACACAACCAGCAGAACAACCCTAAAAGGCGCTGGAGATCACAATGGCATGGCTCTTCGGATAGGCGTGGTGATAGCAGCCTGCTTACCTTCGAAAAGGAGCAGAGGTTTCTGTATGGAGTTTCTGGAAAGCAGGAACAAGGTTCACATAGCCTGTAAACCCTCCCCTAAAGCTACTCAGCCCCACGCCGTGAGCCACCCTGAGTCCTTGTACATCCTCTATTGTAAACCCATCAGTAGGGGGACCTACAATTCATTAGGGCTTCTAGCCATTCTACGCTCTAGAGGACTGGATCCGAATAAGCAGCCCGAAGAGCGTAAACCCTAGAACCCTCAGCCGCAGAATAAAGCTACAGCGGCCACAGCCCTGCTTCTGAGGACTTGGCGTTGCTGAGCTCTCGTGGCCATGTCTGCGCCTAAGCCACTGTTGTCGAAACATTCGAGATGTGGGCTTCAGGAACTAATTGGAGGGTCGGGGACTTAGTAACTGGGTATTGTAGAGACCTATATGTGCCAGAACCCCAATTAGGATCCCTATAACTCTACTTATGCCAGTATTTAGAACATGTGTGCGGTGTGTGTGCGTGTGTGGTTTCAGTATCGAAGGCTTGTAGATGGGCTCAGTAAGTTTCTCCGATGAAGCCCCGAAACACCCATGAACCTACGTATATAGCATATACTTTTGGCCTTGAAGTAGTCTCTATATAGGTACTTTAAGGGGGCACATGGACCCTTAGGGAGCAAAACTTGCTGCGACGCCTGAAGACTCGCTTTGTAAGAAGCAGCAGCATCGTTCCTTGAGCCTTTTAGCTCTATGCTCAACTCCCTGAGTCCTAAACTCGTAAACCCATGGATCCTAAACCCGAAGGCGCGCATCGAGAAGGTTTTGAAAGCCTAATGTAGATGCCTAAGAAAATACTATGGGTTCCTTATTCTCGTGATACTATGACGGGCCCAAAACCCTATTCGAAACATTAAGGCCCTACAGTACTTCATTATGTCTGAACCCCGTAATTCCAATCTGATCATATCAGGTGACTGAAGTAGCCTCAAAGACCTAGGACCCCGAAGCATGTTAGTACCGATGCCACGCCGCCATTCACTCAAACCCCCTTCCCTAAACCCTAAACCCTAAACCCAAACCCCCTTCCTGACAAGCTCCGATGATGAGCCGACTGACCCGGGGAATCTTTTGCTGGCCGCACATACTCATAGGAGGCCAAAAGGGGTTCCCTTTAAAGGGTTCCTATAAGGACTACTATAAGGGATCTATAAGGATATACTATAAGGGGTTCTATAATGTAGGAGGCCAAAAGGGGTTTTTGCCTATGGGGGTTTAGTAGGCATGAGGGTTCCCACAATAGGGTTCATATAAAGGAATCCCTACCCAAGAATCTTAAACCCCCCTTTTTGGCCTCCCATCACATACAGGTTCAATGCGCCCAGTTAGCAGGTACGGTCGTAATACACAGGTAGATAGATAGACATAGATAGACAGATAGATAGCCCAAAAAATACCGATCAAGAAGGGAATCTTAAGGCTCCGAGATATCCAGCTCCACCACCGCCCTCGATACCGCAGCAACTTGGCACGGTTGAGGGTTGAGGGTTCGGGGATTTGGGGTTTATGTAGGCTTTGAAGGTATAAAGTTCACGGGTTCATGATTTTCCCGAAGCCCTAGAGTAGCCCTTCTTGGTACCTGTTTGGTTTTAGGGTGGACATGGGATTCGGGGTGGAGGGTCCAAGGGTTTCGGGGTTTTGTTGTTGTGAGTTTCGGGATGTGGGCCGTCCTTTAGATCTCTCTGTTTAGGTTGAGGTGAGCGGGGTGTTCGTCCATCTTGGACAAAGGAAGAGCCGTACCCTAAGCCCTGAACCCTGAAACCCCGAACCCTAAACTCTAAACCCTCAACCTCAACCGCAAAACGCTCAACCCTGAAATCCCAAACCCTAAGCCTAAGCCCCTGGGGGCTTTGATTCATGGGCCCGAACGAGAGCATAGCCTCGGGGACGGGTCTATCCTCAACTCCTACACGGACCGAACCCCAAAAGCCCGATGCCGTGAGCCCCTCGTCTGTAAGCCTTGAACTGGTCCAGGGCTTCAGGGTTCAGGGGTTTAGGGTTTGAGGTTGAGGGATTCAGGGTTTTAGGGTTTAGGGTTTAGAATTTAGGGGTTTAGGGAATCCGTGATCTCGGGATTTCCGCGACAACGGGCTTAGATTGAATAGTAAAGAAGGTACAGTGCCAAGGTTCAACAAGCGATCGAGTAAGGAACTTGCTTTCTCTTTCATGAGAGTGTATGTAAAGTGTTACAAAATCGGATTCCCCCTTTTAGCATCCTTAAAGGAATCCTGGGTCTGAAGACTGATCCCCCGAGCCCTTGAAGGGTCCAGCGCTTCAGGGTTCACGGGTTTAGGGTTTAAGGTTTAGGGATTCAGGGTATTAGGGTTTAGAATCTAGGGGTTTAGGGTTTAGGGATTTACGGGTTTAGGGTTCAGGGATGTTAGGATTGAGGGTTTAGAGTTTAATGTCAGGGTTTTTTTCGGGAGCGGGAGGGTCTGCACTGACTCGTGGGTGACCGAATAGCAGCAAGCCCCTTCTTGTTTTCGCTCTGATCGAGACATATGTGGCATGTGTGGAGCAGGGTGCAAGGAGCCACCTAAGACCTGAGCATCTCGTTAAAAAGCTTTGAATTCTAGGATGATGAGCGCGTTTTCCAGGCCTCAGGCCCTTGGACAAACCCTCAAAGGAACCCTATACGGCCCTATTCCAATCATTGAGGCTCCTGCATTGAAGAAACCTTTTACATAAACCCTCAGCTCGAACCCGAAAACCCTCAAGCCCATAGGCCCTAAATGCAATCTGAAGAACCCTAAGCCCTTAACCGCTAAACCGTTCAGTCCTAAACCCCCTGAAGCCTGTTCCACTCATTCTGGCCCTTGCCCTAAGGGTCCACGTGCCTATATAGTATATGCCGAGGCATTAAAGTGCCTGTATAGGATCCAGTATACACTACAGTAGAAGCCCAAACTGTCTGAATCTTTAAGAGTAATGTATAAGGAATCCAGGACTAATTGTTTTAAATCCCCTTTCCAGCTTGTTGGCGTTTCTTGTCTCGTTGTCGTATGGCTCTGCTTGGGCTTAAACTATCCTGCGGCACGTACAGCCAGTGTCTCATGTACACATGAGGCAGCCAGTGGGAGGGGCCGGCGAGTGGAACTTCCTTGCGATGTCAGTTCTATCTTTCTACCATAATGTCAGGATGGAGAAAAATTCAATCTATATCTAGGACTCAGAGTAGGCCCTTATTCCCTTTTTTAGGGTTCAGGTTCCCTTATAAGCCCCTTAAAAGCAAAAAGGGCGCCCTTTTTATTCCTAGGTTGCTCTTGGGTCTAGATATGTGGGTACATGGAGCCTTAGGGTTCCCGCGAGTCAGAGGCCCGGCAAGCGCCGGCGCTTGCGGATGAAGCAACCGGTTCAGCGCCCAGATTCAGTGACCAATTTTCGTGTTAACGAGTTCAGACGTCCAGGTTTAAGGGTTTGGGGGCCATGCTTTCGGGTTCAGGGCTTAGGATTAAAGCTGCACAGGGTTTAATTAGCAAGTCGGGTTTGAGATTTAGGATAAATGTGTATAGGGTGTGGGATGTGTGTAGGATTGAAGGCATGGGGTTCCGGTTTCAGGACTTAGGATTAAAATTAAAGTGTGCCGAGTTCAGGGTGTAGTCTCAGGCTCTGGATTTAAAATGTATAGGCTGAATAAGGGTCTAGTATTGAGGGTTTAGGCAAAAGTGTACCCAAACAATGTATGTGAAATCACTCCAAAATTATGTAAGATTTGGGGCTAAAGCTTAGGGCTTTAGGGTGTTGGGGCTTTTGGTAGTTTAGGGTCTCGGGCGGCAGGGTTTTAGCAATTGCGGATTTAAAGTGAGGGTTTAGGGTCCGTGCCTAGATTTGAGGTCTAACTTGACCCTGCAGCCCTCCCCCTACGGAACTCTTTTGTAGAATCCTGATGCTCTTTCAACAAACTTCAACTCTGATCGCTGTAACTAATCTCTTCGCGCTGTCCCGTAGCCGTAGCCTTTATGCTTTGTACCCGCTTTAACCCATTTGAGACTGAACCTTAGGAGCTGGATATATAGGTAGCCTTACATATCATCCTACCATCATTTGAACTAGAGCCTTGTCTCGGCCAGGCCCAAAATAGAGTTGAGGCCCAAAGAGTGCTGAATAATGTCTTCTTCTTGCACCTTGGTTCAGGGTTCAGGTTTCTACAGAGGTGTGAACCGCCAGTGAGAATCTCGCATTATAGTCCCGACATAGTTGCACTTAGCTATACTCCAAGACTTGCTCTTCCTATCCAGGTACCGACCTTTAACCTTTGAAGCCTAGATCCTGAAAGATCCCTCAATGAATTCTGCGAGAGCCGCAAAGTCCTTACAGCCAGCAGAATTCGGTTTTCATCTCATCAGAGCAGGAACCGCAGATCACCGCCCACAACTCCAAAGCTGTCCACCCTAAAATCCTGAATCCTAAAAAAAGCCAGACAAAAC